CTCTCAGCCCCGACCCTGCGGGTTACAGCCCTGCCCAGGCCCCGGGACCGCTGTCACGCGCTGCTCGTTCTGCTGGTGTTCTGGCGCCTGCCGCAAGGGGGCGCCCTGTCTCTAGGCGAGAAGCGCCTCTCCGAAGTCCGGGGACCATCCGCCGCCGTTCGCGATTCCGAAGACACCGAAGTCCACGAGTTTCGGAAACGTTTCCAGGAACTGCTGGACAGGTTACGGGTGAACCAGAGCCGGGTGGCCTTGCACGCTGACCGCATCTTCGCCCCTACTGTCCGGATACTCACCCCAGAAGGTGAGTAGGGTCTTTCTTTTATTTATTTATTTATTTATTTTTTTGGGAGAGGTTTTTGCACTCGCCAGAAAGAGAGACAGAGAGACAGAGAAAGAAAGCGAGAAATCACACCCCTCCCCCGCAAGGGGGGATGGCCACGCCGCAATCCCTTCCCCTCCATTCTCCTCTCGGGATCTTGGGTACACACGCACACGCACCCGGCATGAGTTTAAGCCACCGGGTTCGGGACTCGAACCCCGGTCAACTCCATAGGAGTCCAGTGACATAGCCATTACGCTAACTGCTGCCCCCCCTCCCAGAAGGTGAGTAGATTCTTGAGACCTCCCAGGGTAGCCCTCACCATCTTGCCTCAAGTTTCTCTCCTGCCTCAGTTTCCCCATCTGCGACCAGGCAGGCACACCCCTTTCCTGGTTAGATGTGCTGGGGTAACCCGTTTGCACCCAGACCAGGCCAAGCTAACCAATCAGGGATTTTTAAAACTTGTCCCGGGATCGCAGATGGGGAGATTGAGGCTCAGAGATGCCAAGGAGATTTTTGGATGTGCACAGCCCAAAAGAACCCGAGGACCGGGTTATACCCGGGTTATAATCAGGCAGGGGGCAGTGATTTCTGCCCTGCTCTGGGGCTTGAGGATCCCGGAGGAAGGATTCTGATCCGGGAGGGAGGTTGCAATGGGATGGGCAGAAATTGCTGGACCTGGTTTGCAATCTGATGCAATCGGTCCTCAAGACACTGCTAAAGTCACATGCAATGGGCAATTTGTGGGGGGGGGGGCGGGGTATTTCTCATCTCAGCGCCAGCTGTCCGAGAAGGTTCCAGGGGGTGCAGGGGGGTGGGGAGGTGGGGCTGCAGTGGACGTGGGAGGAGTTGGAGGGGGAGGCCAGGCAGGAAAAAAGAGCCTAATCCTATTCTTCTTGCACCCTAATCCTACCTGGGCTATGTGATTCCAGGGAAGCCTCTTACCCTCTCTGAGCCTTCCAAAGGTCACTAGGGCCCCTGAAACCTCAGTCACCCCCCCCTCGCCACCCCAACTCTTGGAACCAGCCTGGGGGATCTGATAGTCCCAGAGGCCAAGTTGTCAAAAAATGTGGCATTTCTCAAATATGGAAACTGAAGAGCTCGAGGCTGGCAGGTGGCGTTCTAGTTAAGCCTGCTGGACTCTCACATGGCCAACCATGGTTCGAGTCCCGGACCCGGTGGCTTGAAAATCACTCCAGATGCGTGTCTGTGCATGCCCAAAATCCCAGAAGGAGAAAGTAGGAGAAGGAATTGCAGCGTGGCCATCCCCGCTAGGGGAGGTGATTTCTTGCTTTCTATCTCTCTGTCTCTGTCTGTTGAGCGCACGTGCCCTATGGCAAAAAAGAAAAGAAAAAAAAAAACCCTCTCCAAAAAAAATGGAATTAAACAAACAAATTAAAAATAATAACGATGATAATAAAATTAATTTTTAAAAAAAGCAACAGCAGAAGCAGTTTGTCCAAAGACCCTGTGGTGGGCTCCAGCTGGGCGGGTTAGCAGCACACAGTAGGCCCGTAAGTGACCCCCTTCCCTGTCTCCTTCCCACAGTGCGCTTGGGCTCGGACGGCCTCCTGCACCTGCGCCTCTCCCGGGCCTCCCTGTCGGAGGAGCTCCCTGCAGCCTCGCGCTTGCACCGCGCCCTGCTCCAGCTGTCCCCGACGTCGCCCAAGTCGTGGGACGTGACAGCGCCACTCAAACGTCAGCTCAGCGTGGGAGGATCCCGCACACCCGAGCTGCACCTGCGACTGTCCCCGCCCCCGGATCAGTCGCTGGCCTCCGCGTCCCGGTTTGCACGGCCCCAGCTGGAGCTGCATCTGCGCGCACGGGACGCCAGGGGGCGCCGCGGCGGACAGGAGCGCGCCTGGAACGACTGCCCGCTCGGGGAAGGGCGCTGCTGCCGCCTGCAGACCATCCGCGCGTCGGTGGAGCAGCTGGGCTGGGCCGACTGGGTGGTGTCCCCGCGCGTGCTCGAGGTCAGCTTCTGCGGCGGCCAGTGCCCATCCCATTACCACGTGGCCAACATTCACACGCAGATGAAGACCAGCTTGAACCGCTTGAAACCCCACATCGTGCCCGCCCCGTGCTGCGTGGCTTCCAGCTGGGAACCCCTGGAGATCCTCCAGAAGACCAGCAGCGGCCAGTTCCACCAGGTCTACCAGAACGTCCTGGCCAAGTCCTGCCACTGCGAGTGACCGGCCTGGCCAAGTCCTGCCACTCCTCCCCCTGCACCTGCGACCTGGGCGGGACCTCAGTCTTCCTCGCCTGCAAAGTGGGCGCGCAGGACTCCTCCCCAGGGCTGTGCCCCGCCCCCCCACCCATTGTATTTATAACTCTGTATTTATTATTATTAATTTATTGGCTGGTGCACCCGGGTCCGAGAGGGCTGGTGCAACTGTATATATGTATTTATTTTTCAATTCTGTTAATAAAAAAATGTCGTCTGCAGCTGGCTTCGTGGTATGGTAGGAAGGCAGGCAGATTGCACAGGGTGGATTGCGGTGGTTCGAGTCCCAGACCGGGTGGCATGAGAAACATGCCAAGCACATATGTATGCATGCCCTAATCCTGGAAGGAGGGAGGGGAGAGGAGAAGGGATTGCAAACAGTAACCATTCCTCAAGAGGGTGCTTTCTCCTCTTCGTCTGTGTTTCTCTAGCTCTCTCTGGTGAGTGGATGCATCCACTACCCCCCCCCAAAAAAAAAAAAAAAAGAAAAAAGAGGGGCCAGTCGTTAGAATAAAGCTGATGT